TTATTATTATTTTAAATGCTTATTTATTTTTGAGAGAGAGAGAGGCGGAACATGAGCAGGGAGGGGCAGAGAGACACAGAATGCAAAGCAGGCTTCAGGCTCCGAGCCATCAGCACAGAGCCCCACGCAGGCTCGAACCCACGAACCCGTGAGATCATGACCTGACCCGAAGTTGTCTGCCCAACCAACTGAGCCACCCAGGCACCCCTTTAGAAATTATTTTTTAAATTTTTTTTTTCAACGTTTATTTATTTTTGTGACAGAGAGAGACAGAGCATGAACGGGGGAGGGGCAGAGAGAGAGGGAGACACAGAATCGGAAACAGGCTCCAGGCTCCCATCAGCCCAGAGCCTGACGCGGGGCTCGAACTCCCAGACCGCGAGATCGTGACCTGGCTGAAGTCGGACGCTCAACTGACTGCGCCACCCAGGCGCCCCTAGAAATTATTTTTTTAAGTGTATTTATTTTTTTTGAGAGAAACAGAGACAGCACACGTGGGGGAGGGGCAGAGAGAGAGGGAGAAAGAGAGAATCCTAAGATTCCGCTGCCAGCACAGAGCCTGATGTGGGGCTCAAATCCACGAAGCTGCGATATCATGACCTGAGCCAAAAGCAAGAGTTGGACACTTAACCAACTGAGCCATCCAGGTGCCCCAGAAATGTTCTTTAAAGAAAAATTTAACTTTCCGTGGAATGTTTTTCATTAGATATAAAATAAAATCAAGAAATCAAATTAAACAAAGATAATATGTAAAAGAGGAAAATAAATGAACCAAACTTGTTATTGTATTTATAAAATTACTCAACATTTTTTATTTTTCTTTTACATGTTTGTACTGATCTTCTAAATATCTGTGTTCATCGCTCTGTTCATAGGTTTTTTGAAAAATCATGGCCCTTGTGTTTAATGTAGGATAGTGATCAGCATAGTATGTTACAAGTATATTACCTAGTATATTACAGGGAACAGGAGTTCCAGAATGAGAAATCCTAGTTTTAAATCAGCCTCTTGCTAATTGTGTTAACAGTTGAAACATTTTTAATGACACTTTTGCTCATTTGTGAAATAAGAAAAGAGTACTTTATAAGCATATCTGTTGTGATGATTTAATGAGATGTTCTTTAGAAAAAGAGCACATATTATTTTATATTAATACAAAGTAGAAAAATTTTCCACATGTGCACCACAAGTTCATAGTAAAAATGTTTGTAATAGTTTGCAGAAATTTGAAGCAACCTCAATATTCATGGAATAACTTATGCTATAATCATATAATGGAGATACTTCACAATAGTAAAAATGTTTGAATTATTCCTATATATACAAACACAGATGAATCTTAAAAACAAAATGGTCAATGGAAAAAATATTGCAGAATACATACAGTTGATAGAATTTTTTTTTAATTTTTTTCAACGTTTTTTATTTATTTTTGCGACAGAGAGAGACAGAGCATGAACGGGGGAGGGGCAGAGAGAGAGGGAGACACAGAATCGGAAACAGGCTCCAGGCTCTGAGCCATCAGCCCAGAGCCTGACGCGGGGCTCGAACTCACGGACCGCGAGATCGTGACCTGGCTGAAGTCGGACGCTTAACCGACTGCGCCACCCAGGCGCCCTACAGTTGATAGAATTTATTAAAAAATTAAAAACATACAAAATGACTCTATGTATTTTTTAGAGATATAAATATATACTGTGAAGTTATAAATATTTATAATTTATAAATGTATAAATTTATAAATAATTGTAATTCATAAATGTGTAAATACATTGGAATAATAAAGAGCAAGTTTAAGGTAGTGATTACTCTGAGGAGCAGAAAAGGAAACACATTTGAGATGGATTCACAGAGACAACTGTGCAGGTGAGATTTTTATTTCTCAAAGTGGTTAGAAGATACTCAACCTAATATATTGTAATAAATAATAATAGAGAGTCTACCCCTAAGACTTGACTTAAAAAATTCTTACTGATTCACTCGTAACTCTTTTCCTCCTTGGAAAACTTCATAATAATCAAATTTAATAACTGTGCAATCCAATGCTTTGATGTGCTATACTGATCATTTTTTATTATTGGGCAATATGGCTAAGTGCTCTTTTCAAAATTTACAGTTAATTTTCTGTTTTTTAAAGTTTATTTATTTTGCGGGGAGAGGGGCAGAGGGAGAGGGAGAGAGAAAATCCCAAGCAGGCTCTGCACTGTCAGCATGAACCTGACTTGAGGCTACGTCTCATGAACCATGATATCATGACCCAAGCCAAGATCAAGAGTAGGATGCTTAACTGAGTAAGCCACCCAGGTGTCCCTACAGTTAGTTTTCTTAAAGCATATATCCAAAAATAGAACTACTCAAAGGGAATATACATTTTAATTATTTTTGGTGCTCATCACTTGATGACTTTCAAAAGTGTTTTGCAAATTTATATTTTCAAAATGAATATATTTACTTTGTACTAGAAAATAAATACTTAAAATATTTCTTAAAAACTGTTAAATAATAACAGTATTTTAAAAATTTGCTAGTGAAGCTAAGTATTCTTCTGTTTTTCATTATTAATCATACTTCCTCTTTTGTGAGTTATCCATGTTTGTCCTTTGGGAAATAGTAATTAAAATATTATTGGTAAACAAAGATCATTATAGAGTACATAGCCCAGAGCCTATGGAGTCTCTTCTTTTGGCCTATGTTTTACGAGGAATAAATGCACTGAATTAACAGAAGTTTCCTTAATTTTAATTCACTCTGAAGGGAAGGACTTACTTTTATGAATGGTAAAGAGACAATATTTTATCAGCGAAATTCTTACTTTCTACATTTGGATTTATTCGCATCACAACATAGAGGTCTATGTTTTCTTGTTCTGTTTTGTTTTTTACTATTTTTTTTTAAATTATTTATTTTGAGAGGGAGAGAGAGAGACAGAGAGAAAGCGGGGAGGGGCAGAGAGAGAGAGAGAGAGAGAGAGAGAGAGAGAGAGAGAGAGAATCCCAAGCAGACTCCTCACTGTCAGTGCAGAGCCCAACATGGGACTTTATCCCATGAACCATGAGATCATGACCTGAGCCAAAATCAAGAACCTGTTGCTTAACCGACTAAGCCACCCAAGTGCTCCTACTTTTTACTATTTTTAAATTCAGAAGCTGGTTTTAGAATACAATATTGGACTTGTTTGTGAGGAATTGTTGCATTGAGGAAAATACATCATCTATTTGCTCTGTGATCCTAACCTCTCAGAGCTTTGGTTTTTTTAATCTGTAATAGGTAGTTAGAAAAATAATATATTGTATAATAACGTGTGAGATTTACTCCCATTATCTGCAGTGATACATGCCTACATATCTAAAGTGGTTTCTGGCATAGTCTAGGGATCTGAGAAGTTGCCGCCGCTGCTATTATTAGGAAGGGTATACAATGTAAGAGCTCTGAAATCCTCCAGTCAAACTTACTTGTCACTGTCTGAAGTTCTAGCGTTAGCAGTGCCTTTTTTTTTTGTCACACGGGGACATCTCTTAGACAAGGCAATTCATTAAGACAGTATTTCTGCCGGTATGCTCCACAGAACATAGACTCTTTGGAATATCAGTGGTATGTCATGGAGAAGTGGGGAACGAAGGGCCAGGGGAAGGAATTCTTGATCAAATAAATTTGGGAAATACTGTGCCAAATAGATCTCAGCAGCTTTATTTTCTGAAATATTTCCCGAAGTCTTTACTATCATAAGATGAATTTCTCATTGGCCGTTCGTGTGCCTGCTTGTTTTTTCTAAAGCATCTCCTACTCCATATTTTCTGGAAACACACCTTGGAACATACAGTTTTAAGACAGCCATCATTTTATACCCTTGTTCAGCTCCCCTTCTAGGAAATGGCTTGAGGGGAACAGTGAGCAGGTATCAGCGTTAGCTACCGGGGACTGGGTGATTTTAACAAGGCTACTGGGGACATTGGCTCATGACTATGTTCTCTATACAGTTCATCCCCAGACCTCCGATTCAGTATGGCTCTGTGTGATCAGGAGAAGACTTTCAGACAACAGAGGAAAGAAAACATAAAGGAAAACATGAAGAAACTCCTGGGTCCAGAGAAGAGTAGAGGCCTGTATTCTACGCGCGATGTGAGTTGGAAAATTTTCAAATGTTACTGCAATTCAATAATAATTGTGTTTGTACCGTCTCCCAAATTTCACCCAAGTATGGAAATATTGAGTTTGAGCATTATATCTTCAGTTTTTTAAGATGAGGTAAGTGTTTCGTAAATAAAGATTCTTTGAGGAAGATCATCACAAATGCTGCCCACATTTAGCAATATTGATCAGGTACAGTTTTACAAAGAGGCGTAGGCATACTTACACACAAACAAGCTATTGATAGTAAGAAAAGATTAGCCTCAGATGTAAAAAGATCATTGAATTAATTTTATTTTATTTTTATTATTTTTTTAATTAAAGTATATTTGACACACAATGTTGCAATTAGTTTCAGGTGTACAACACAGTGTTTCAACAAGTCTTTTCATTGTGTTGTGCCCACCACAAGTGTGGCTCCCATGGGTCACCACACAACACTATTACAACACCGTTAATGATATTTTCTGTGCTGTACTTTTCATCTCTGTGATTTATTCATTCCATAACCGTAATTCTGTATCTCCCACTCCCTTCGCCCATTTTGGCCATCGCTCTAGCTCCCTCCCCTCTGGGATCATTGAATTAACTTTAATATGGACTAAGATTAAACAATTGTGAGATTTATCATCACCAAACAAGAAGAAAGTGCTACAAGTCTTGTCAATGATAACACAGTTTACCAAACTACGTAGATGTGAATGGGAGAGATAAAAGGAAATGTTTCAAATTCTTAATATTTCATCACAGGAAGCTAAAGTCTATCATCCCAGATTGACCAAATACTTAAGAATGATGACCTCTACTTTTTAATGTTTTCATCATCCTAATGATAGAGAGATCTTAAAATTAAAATATTTTTGTAAACAAATATAGGAAGTACAATCCTTCATTTGTACTTTAACTTCTTTTTCTTCCCTTAATTTCCAGGAAAATAAATATCATTTATTGTTCAATAACATGTAATGTGTAAACCAGTTTTTGGCTATTTATCTGTCCATTTATTCATTTTTCCCTTCACTGATCTATCATCTATCTACCCATCCATCCACCTGTCCATCCATTTATTGGTCTATCCTTTTATTAAATGCATAAGTAACGCATAAGTAAGACCTGTCCTCCCTCCCCCCATGTCCTGTTCACTCTCAAACCCAAGCTTAAAAAACCTTTCCTGCTCTTAGGATTGGCTTCTTGGCATCTTTCTAGCATCCATTTTTGCCAGTTCACCCCCAGTTCACCACACTCCTTCACTAGGTGCCTCTTGGTCCCATGTCCCCTCAGAACCTTTCCCCATGTGGTGCTTTTCCACACAGTTTCTTCTCTCTCTGTGTGCTTCCCTCCTCTCCTCTCCTCTCTGTGCTTCCCTGTGCCACCCTGTCCCCGCCCCACCGCCTTTTGGGGTACCTAGGACCCTCCCAACTTTAAGCACCACATACTTAGCTTCTTCTGAGGCTGTTGTCCTCACCAGCTCCTCCCTCCTTCCCCCCACATCTGTTAGATCTCAGTTATATTCTCTATATTAATGGCACCAATATATGCACATTATCTTTTTAGCATTTACAACACGTATACTTAAAAAATACTTGTACAGATATTCGTTTAATGTCTCTTCTCTCCAGTGGAATATAAGTTACATGAAGACCAGGGCAGTGGCTGTGTTATTTAACCTTCATATTCCCAGCACCTGGCAAAGGCTCCTTAGCACACGGTAGACCCTCAGTAAGTCTTGCGTTGTAGGAGTCAGGGCACAGATTCAGGAGGTAGCTTCGCACTGCCTCCAGGGGATGAGGTAGCTAAAGGGAGGGATCAGAGACTCCGAACCCAGGAACACAGAATCAGGTCGTGAGGCAGGAGACACAGGTGGAGGAGAAGGTTTGGAGGAAAAGATCCCAGCTTGAACTGTTCAATTAGAAACGTATGTGTGCGGGGGCGGGGTGCCTGGCTCAGTTGGTCCAGCGTCTGACTTTGGCTCGGGTCATGATCTCACAGGTCAGGAATTCAAGCCCTGCATTGGGCTCTGTGCTGTCAGCACAGAGTTCGCTTCAGATCCTCTGTCCCCCTCTCTCTGCCCCTCGGCACTCCTCTTTTTGTGGAAAAAGGAGTGTCCCTGGGAAAATGAAACTTGGCCTAATATTCATACTAATTGGCTTTTCTGCAATGGATGGAGAAAAAAGTAATTATGTGTTCTGTGGAATTTTCTTCAAAAATATTAAATCCATGTTTTTGGAAGTCGTTCCTGGAATTATTGTAGTTGTTTCGGTTCGGTCTAGAGTTGTTTTCCTTGTCCAGAATAATTAGATTAGATATATTCAGAACCACCCATCCCCACAAGTAATGTTTTCCTGTTTTTTAAAAAATTTTCTTCATTTTTGAGAGAGAAGGAGCATGAGCAGGGGAGGGGCAGAGAGGGTGGGAAGATAGAGGATTCGAAGTACGTTCTGCACTGACAGCAGTGAGCCCGACATGGGGCTGGAACTCATGAACCATAAGATCATGACCTGAGCTGAAGTCAGATGCTTAACCAACTGAGCCATCCAGGCGTCCCTTTCCTATTTTTATGTTACTCCTTGGTGAGAAGGGTGTCTTAAGTTCCCAATTCCCTTGCTCTCTGATAAGACTTCACTTTCTGTTCAGTTCTTAATTCTCAATGCAGAGACTGTGCTCGTCTTATTCCAAGTGTTCAACAGACAGCATCCAGTTTAGGACTTCAGTGTCAAATAAATTAGAGCAGCATAAACTTGGGCACAGTCCTTCCCTTCTGTGCTTCACCTGTAAAATGGAGCCTGGGGCTTTTATTAGGTCACAGGATGAGTACTACTGCTTATAAGCCTCCAGCACAATGTGTAAGAGCATGTAGTAGTTGCTCAAAAAAACAGTATTGTACCTGAGTGTGGCTCTTCTGTTGCATAACACCCGAGGGCAATAATTGTCAAATTTAATAAAATCTGAGCTTTTCCATCTGGACAATGAGTTAGTCAAAGAGCTGAGGCATCTAATAACTCAAGAGTTTATTCTCTTAAATACTAAGACTTTAAAAAAAATGTATTCTCAATAATTAAAAAAAAGTTTTGAAATGTATTGATTTTAATCATTTAGCTGGAAGTCTTTCTAAAGTGACAGGTCATTCCTCGTCCTGACTGAATGGATTTGAGTGTTCTCAGGTCTGTCTCCTTTCCAATCAGCTGCCATCTCTCCCTGCCTTATGTGCTCCCTTGAGGTAATTTCTTCAAACCACTCCTTTCTCTTTCAACTTTGCTGCTGTGGAATTCAAATCTGATAAGCAGGCTTGTTGTTAGAACAGTGTCTCTGACTAGTGTGATTTCTTTATGAATAAAGGCCTGAGATCTTTCCTATGACTAAGACCTGCAAGCCTCTGTACGTGGGGATTTTTGGCATAGTTGGATCGTTCAGAGGCCATTCTTATGAATTTTCTGGTCTGAAAATACTTCTTGGTCAGATGAAGTTCCCAGATTATAGTCTTCTGTGAAGGGAAATGCTACTCGCTAGTTTTTATGTTCCCTAGTAACTGACCATAACAAAGCAAAGCTGGTTAGGGGACTAGAGTCTGGAACTATAATAGTGGGAAAGCAAGAGAAAGTAATTTACTTTCACCTGCATCAGAGAATAAAGAGAAAGTGTTTTGTCCCAAGGCACAATTTACGAGATACTTTCAATTTAAACAAATATCTTTTGATGAAAATCAAAACGGACCTTGAGTAATATATTCTGTGAGTGCTATTCTTACTTAAGTTTGTCATATAAAGGAAGTGAAAGACTAGAGAAAAGAGTCCATTTGGTGACAGAGAAAGAAGCAAAGCAAAACAGTTTCTGAGGGAGGTAATAGAAGTCAACCTTGAGTAGTCAATAAGAATTCTTATTCCTCGTTTGTGTTGTTTCTGTCATCTAGAATATTCTTCCTCTTGCTTCCTCCTTTCCTGGTGACAACAGCACTTTGTACTCTCAATTCCTATTCCCCTCCCAGACTGCAAGTATCACAGGGAAGACAGTGTCAAACTCCCAAGGGTAGAGGCCAGAAAGGAGCACTGAGCGGGTGTGAGCTTCCGGGGACTCACAAGGTGGAGTTGGAGTTTTTCTCCTCTGAGGTAGTGGTGGGATGTGAACAGCCAAAGGAATAAGAGACCTGGAAGTTGATCTAGAAAGTAGATGTCCAAGCGGCCCAGACTGCACTCAGGAGGGTTGTCCACTATGAGGCAGGTGACTCCTGCAGACCACAGAGCTCTCAGGGAGACAGGCTCAGGGGGAGGCACGTAAGAACACATGTGTCAGGAGCAAGGAAGGAGGAGGCCTATGGGGACAGGTGCTGGATTTGCTGCAGTTTTCAGTGATTTGTTTTATAAATCAGGCATTATGTGAGGAAGCTTACTGGGCTTGAAGGGCCAGCGGCCCGATGAAAACAAAATGCTAGTAACAATAATATATTTTAATTTAACGTAAACTCACTTTTTAAATTTTACATGTGAAATTATGGCTGTGCTGGGGGAAAAAAATGTAAATACGTTGAAACGAGATCATATACACTATTTTTTGTACGTTTCATGAAGCAAACCAAGCCAGTGAGCTCCTTCTCTTTGTGTACAAAGATGTTGCCTAAGTTTCTGACCAGAAATGGACTGGGCAGCACCTTGGGAGGGCTGGTACTGGGCACAGGGTGGTGGGGAGGCAATGCACACTGCAGGGATTAGCATTTACACAAGTCCTGGCAGCCATGTCTGCTCCTACCATTGCTAATACTGTGAGGATGCACTGGTTAATCAGACTCGATAATTGTCAACTTTGCTTCTATACTCTAATCCAAATGATAAATAATAATAATGATAATAATAACAACAACAGCAACAACCTAGGATGTACAAACTAGCAGTGTAAAACCTAACAGTTTTAATATGGAGATAATCAGTCTTTAAAAAAATCAATGCTACATTTTCTGTCCTCCTTTACATTTACAGGGTTGGCTCTCTAATTTTCAATAG